TACATAGGAGTCATCCTCGCTTCTCGAAAATCCAAACTCTTTGACTTTCTCATCAAAACAAAGATTCCAACTGCGACATGCTTGTTTTAATCGATAAATGGATATCTCAAGCTTAGACACTCTATTAGGGTATCTTGGGTTGTCAAAACCCTCTGGCTGATTCATGTAAACATCTTCAGCCAACTTTCCATTATGGAAAACGATTTTGACATCCATTGGTCATATTTCATAGTCATGAAATGCAGCTATGGCCAACATAGTCGTCATAGATTTAATCTTCAGTACTGGTGAGAAGGTCTCATCATAGTCAACTCCATGAATTTGAGTAAAACCCTTCGCAACCAGTAGCGCCTTATATGTGTGTACCTTCCCATCCATACATGTCTTATTCTTAAAGATCCATTTGCACCCGACTGTCTTTCGACCTGGTTCATTGTCAACCAAGTTCCAAACTTGATTGTTATACATGGACTGAATCTCGCTATCCATAGCCTCTTTCCATTTAACAGACTCAGGGTCTGGTATTTCTTCCCTATAGTTGCTAGGTTCATCCAAGTTTATCAATGTACTATCACTGATAAATGTATCACCTTCAGCTGTTATATGAAAACCATATAAGACAGGTGGAACACTAGACCTACTGGAATGCCTCAGAGGTACGAATTTTTCAATTGGTTCAACAAGAGTTTCCTCCTCGGGTTGATCGCTAATGTTTGAGGTTCCTTCACCGCTTGAATCTTGAAGCTCTTAAAGGTCAATTTGCCTCCCACTGTCCCCTTGGCATATGAGTTCTCTCTCACAAAAGACCCTTCTTCTTGCGATGAAGAAAACATTGTCAATTAGTTGATAGAAGAGATACCCAAAGGATTTTTGTGGATAGTCGATGAAAATACATCGTTCACTTTAAGGTTCGCGTTTGTCGTGAGTTTCGCATCTCACGAAAGCTTCGCAACCCCAAACTTTGATGTGGTCTAAAGTGGGAACTTTCCCAGTCCACATCTTGTGAGGTGGTTTGCTAACCTTCTTTGTAGGGACTAGATTAAGGATAAAAGCGGCAGTCTCTAAGGCATACCCCCAAAATGAGAGAGGGAACGAAGCTCGACTCATCATAGAACAAACCATGTCTAACAAGGTTCGATTGCGCCTCTCAGCGACACTATTCAGTTGTGGCGTTCTAGGAGGTGTCAATTGTGAAAAAATTCCACATTCCTTAAGATAGCCGTGGAACTAGATACTAACATACTCTCCTCCTCGATTGGATCGCAGTACCTTTATCCTCCTGCCCAATTGATTCTCCATTTCTGCCTTAAACTCCTTGAATTTATCAAATGTTTCTGACTTATCCTTGATTAAGTAGAAATAGCCATACCTACTATAATCTTCAGTAAAAGTCACATAGAAGCGGTTAGCATCCCTTGTGGCATATTTGAAGGGTTAACACACATATGTGTGTATGAGATCCAACAAACCGTCACCCCTTTCACAAGAACCATTGAAGGGTGACTTGGTCATCTTTCCAAGTACACAAGATTCACAAGTATCATCCGATTTCAAATCGAATGACTTCAAAACTCCAAGATTTTGGAGTTGGCTTATGTGCTTCTTGTTAACATGTGCAAGACGACAATGCCATAAGCATGCTTTATCCAAATCATTGGATAAATCAATTTGAAACACATTATTTCCTAAGTTATCTACAACATTCACATGTTTATTTACTAAGTCACTTTGCATCAAAGCATAATGTCTAGACTTAGTATTTTTTGTACACTCATGTTTCCAATAAATAGGGACTGAGGATAGAAGTAGACACGAGTCATTCTGCTTATTGTATTCAGTATTGTATTCGAATTCTCTGTTTAATACAAAATTTGCTGATTAATATTTACATCTGGTGTTCTTATCATTCATTATTCATTCATCTAAATCATGATTGCTTTCTAATTCTCGATTACAATTCTCATCAATTGGTATCAGAGCAGGTTTCAAACTGCATTGATCTGATTTTCATTCTAGAATCATTTGCATTTTGAGTTACGAGTTTATTCAAAATATTTCCGCGCTTTTGGTTCTGAAAATCTCTATTGATCTTCAGATTTGAATCGATTCTGCATTTGAATTGTATAGTCGAGTAATCGATTAGCAATTTGTGGTCAATTCATTTGATCGGTTAACAAATTCATCAAGTTTTTCATCAAATTTCTCGTGTTCAACAATGACAAACTTTAACATGAACACTATGACCTCATACTCTCATTTGCTTGGTTCTTCTACTAAAATTCTGATGTTGATTCCAAAATATTATGATCAATGGGCTGACAGAATGGAATATTATCTGAATGGGATTGATGAGGAGATATGGAACTGTATCACTGGACCAGTTCTACCTCCCGCAAATGTTCAAACATTAGGAGTCTCTGGATCTTCAGATCAAGTCATTAATCAAGGTGATCATATGGAAAATAATGAGAAGAGATGTATGCGAGAGCTGAGAGGTGCATTGCCACCTGTGGTTTACAACTACATTCGTGGTTGTAAAACATCAAAAGACATTTGGTTCACTTTGAAAGAAAAATATCAAGGTATTGTAAAGACAAAGATCAGTTCTGTTAAACAATGTCTTGTTGATCTTAAGGAGTTTAGACAAAAGGATGCTGAGATGATTGAAAATTACTATGATCGTTTGAATGAACTCATTTATCTATGCAACAGATATGGTATCACAAGGTCTCCTATGGAATTCAATCTTATATTCATCATGGGGCTTCACAAAGAATGGCAAAGTGTGAGCATGGTGATAAAGAATCAGCAGAGCTTTGATACTTCAAGTTTGAATGATTTATACAATCAACTGAATACACACGAAAATGATGTGGCTAAAATGTTAGAAGAGTCGAAACAAAGTTTGGGAGGACGGCGTTGGTGTCGAAAATGAATGAAGTTGAGTCTGTTGAAAAGGAAGGCACGAATGATGAGGGGTTCCTAATAAATTTTGATGATGAGGCAGTTGCATTTTACTCAAACAACAGAGTAATTTTTTTTCAAGAAACCATTCAAACCAAAGGGTATGCAAGGAGATGTGAAGAGTGGTTTTGTGAAAGCTGGAGTAAAGACTGGAGTTGAGGAAAAGAAGAAGTATGAAAAGTATGAAAAGGTGGATGAAAATGCGAAGGAATCAAAGGCAGAGAAAAAGCTGAAAGCTGACTCAGGAGTAAATTCTCACTATTGTAATGGAGCTAACCACTTTGCATCTGAATGCATGTTAAGGAAGAAGGATGAAAAGAAATCCAAAGTTAAAGACGAAGCTTACTATGCTGAAAAGCTTGAGGAAGTTCGTGCAAAAGCAAAAGGTTTATCCTTGGTTGCGAAGGGAGAGATGGATGATGATGAAAGTGGAACATGCCAAATTTGGTCTTTGGGATCAGATGATGAAGAAATGAGGCACCCTACACACAGTGTGATGTTCGCTAGTTTTGAGGAGAATAGCGAAGAAGAAGGAGAAATATCTGGATATTGCTTTGTGTCCAAATCCATTGATAAGTCTCCTATGACCACCAAGGTACGTGCGATTCTTAAATCTTTTAATATTCCTTTAATTGCTTATGATGTTGAACTAACTGCTTTCGATGATACTGTTGCCTATTTTGATGTTGTTATTCTGTCTGCTAGTACTGAGGCTCAAAATCTAAAAACACAACTAGCTGAGACACGAAGACAGTTAGATATTAAACGAAGCTGGGTAGATTATCTTGAACTTCAGATGAAAAATGTTAATTCTGATAGAGATAGATTAGATAAAGATGTAAGATTGTTGTTACCTCAACGCAACATTTACTTTAATTCAGCTAAGAGACTGTATGCGAAGTTAACTGCTTTACATCATTCATCCGAAATAAGCAAAGAACAACATAGAAAATTACTACCTTTTCTTGCTTATGAAAGTGAAAAAGTTAATGTTATTTCGTATGATTGTGAAGATACTATTGCTCAGTTTGACACAATACCTGATGATAGATTTGCATATGGTATTGTCAAAATTGATGAATTTTTGAATGCTGATGAATTGGTTGATATTGTAAATGATAGTTTAACGAAGACTGAACAAATTAAGATTTTAAAGAAAACTGAAACTTCGACTCTTGATTCTCAAAACAATTATGTTGATGTCGATGATAATTCAGATAATGTGAGTGAAATCAGTGAAATCGAAGAGGAAGAAGAGATTGATTGTTCTAAACTGTCTATAACTAATATAACATCTAAGGTCAAAGGTAAAGAAATTTTAGTTGATTCGATAGTGAAGGTTGGCACTGAAAAACCCTCAACTTCGCAACTTTTTGACTTTGATGATGTGGAAGTTCAAAGTAGGCACTACGAGAAAAATAGCCTTTTACGACGCGCAAATTACGACACTCATTAATTTATGTTATGCAAACGAGAGTGACATTGAAAAAGGGTCATCGCTTCAGAAAATTTAAGGATTTAGGTCACTTATTATTGCGCGCCTTTAAATTAGTGTCAAAAGAAAAAAAATTAAAAACACGGAGGGCGCTGTACCTTAAATGCACGCCCTCTATATGTGTCGCTTTATAATTTTAATGAACGCGCGTTCCTTAGTTACAAGCGGGAAAAGAAAAGCCAAAAAATTAGAAAAGCCCGCTACCCTCCCTGCCCTAAGCATTTTCACGCATCTTTCATTCTCCTCACACTGTTGTGCAACTTCTCAATCAAAGATCGAAGGTTACTATTTCATCTCCATCTCTCGACTTCATCATCTCAATCAAGAAAAAGGGCTTCTGATTTCCATTCATCTACTTCATCGTTGCTGTAATTTCACATTCTTCATCTCTCTGCTGTTCTTGAGAATACTCGTCAATAGTTTTCTTGCACTATTCCTTGACCTGCTTCCTTCTAGATATGCTTCTTAAAATAACTCCAAAAACAACAAACCCCAACCCTACACCCCTCATCCTCTTCCATGGCATCATCAATTACCGGCGATGTCATATACCACCATCTCTCCGATGAATTCCAATTTTGCGGCTTTAATTTGTAAATATATCCCGCGTACGATCTTCGAAAAGCTTCCAGTGGTAGATCTAGCATGGTCAGCGTGTGTGTCCAGGTTGAGGAGTTCAGTAGCTTCTGATGAAGAGATTCAGGTTAGGGCTTTCAAGGCACCGTGGAAACTGTAATGGTGTTCATTGTGGCGGAGGGATTAGGGTTTCTAGAGTGAGAGACGAAAGGGGAAATTGGTGTAAATGTCTGCAGAAGGAATCATGTAAAGTTGTTCTCTATTAACCGATGACTTAGGGTTTTAACTTTCACCACTGCTGCTGCTTCGCCACCTAAGCGAATCGACACTCATAATGCACCTTCCACTACGACGAAGCACTAGGATGCTTTATGATTGGCCTCGCATCAAGGTTCCACAGAGTCCAAATCATTCGAACTAGAAACCTTCAGGTACTATCACTACAAGATCTCACCTCCTCTCCCCTTGCCGACAACATCAGGTTCGACGACCTTAGGATTACTTCTTCTATTGCTCTAATTTACAAGCCCTATGTCTTATTAAGGTGTGTTTCGGTTTATTTTTTCCCTATGTTTTCATTCTTCTACCAGAACCCTATCTTGCTAAATCCTTTTGTTTTCGCAGCTAATTTTTTTCTAGACCAAGATTTTGTAGATAGGAAGCACGTGGAAGAGAAGCCCTAGACCAAGATTTTGTAGAAAATTTTGGTGTTGAATCAACAATTGTTTGTTAACAGGTTTTCCATTTTTAATCATTCATTTGTTCTTCCCACCATTTTTATTAGGTTCTCAATTTACTTAACAAACTTTAGTCCAGTTCTTCTCAAGCACTCATGCCATTACATGTGCCCTGTTTGCCTTCTTGAGGCCTGGTGATGAGGCACTTAATCTATTCATTTAGAAAGCATAAAATTTATTCATTAATTTTTATTAGCTTTTGGCAGTTGGGTCATTACTGACCAGTTGTACAGTTTTACAATGACAATAACAAGTATAGGTAAAACAAAACACCAGTTGTTCAGTTTTACAATGACAAAATCAAATATGCCATTGGAATATTCTGAATCCATACACCTATGTGATCTACTTTTAGCAAAGTTGTATCTAATTAATAGAAAGGGTTTTTCCTATATGTTCCTATACAGATTAAGCATAACAATATGGAAAAAGACTAAAAAATTTGTATGAAAGATGTATGTATGTATTTTTTTTATTGTTTACATCATGACCAATCAGCAGAGGTGGTGGCAATAGCATAACATAACCAAATAAAATATTGATTCATGCCACTCCTTCCTAGATCACCTTTTTTTCTTTTTGTTTTTAATAAAATAATATAATATATATTTGACTGATTATTGATATCATCATCTACTATGGTGAAAATGGTTGATGCAGTTTGATCGTCAAACCTTATCCATTGCAATGCGTTTCTTGATGGCCAAAACTCCAGAGCAAAGGGTAGTTGTTGATCTGGACACTCATTACACACAGCTTAGGTTTCATTCTTTTATACCATATCATATGATGATGATGCTTATATTATCCATTATCCAATCCTACATACAGTTTCAACCTCACCCCATGTATCTATGCAGGAATATCTTGAACAACATATTGGAGTTAAAACAAGAAGACAGGTATTATATCAGGGATATGTGGAAGGGATATCAGCTACTTGGATGCAGTCAAATCATGGGTTTGATGGCCAGGTCAACGCCTGCTGCTTTTTTACTGGTGTATCCTTTATGGAAAGAGAATGAAAACAAATGGGATGAAGTTTTCAGTGTTATTTTTGTATATTACTAGCTTTGTTAAAGCAACAAGGCGTTTGGCTCAAAGGGTTGGCTAAAAGTTCTACTGCAACTGAAGAAGTCCCACCTTTGCTTGAAGAAAATGGGAAAATTCAGGTGTGGAGGATTAATGACAATGCTAAAACCACAGTACCCAAAGAAGATATTGGTAAAATCTACAGTGGAGATTGCTACATTGTTCTTTACACTTACCATTCTAATGAAAAGAAAGAAGATTACTATTTGTGTTGTTGGATTGGCAAAGATAGCATCGAGGTAACATTGCTGCTCGATTGGCTACTACAATGTTCAATTCACTCAAGGGAAGACCAGTTCAGGGTCGTGTATTTCAAGGGAAAGAGCCTCCACAATTTGTCGTGATCTTTCAGCCTATGGTTGTGTTAAAGGTAGGTACTTGCGTCACATTTTTAGTTTTTTCAAATATTTTGCTGTGATATTAGATTCAGATGGAAAATGTTGTGTTATTAGGTTGGATTGAGCTCTGGATACAAGAACTCCATTGCAGACAAAGAATTGAATGATGAAACCTACACTTTAGATGGTGTAGCCCTAATTCAGATATCTGGCACTTCACCCCATAATAATAAAGTCGTTCAAGTAGATGCCATATGATTATGAGCCCCTTCTAAGTTATTCCTTGGAATTGTTAAAATTAGGGCTAATGAAATTTGTTTGTTTCAGGTGGCAACCTCATTGAATACGTCTGAATGCTTTCTTCTTCAATCTAGTTCTTCATTGTTCACCTGGCATGGAAACCAGAGTAGTGTTGAACAGCACAACATAGCTGCAAAAATCGCCGAATTTTTGAAGGTATGGGATGCCCTGATTGGTTTAGAAATAATTTTTTAAATACAAAAAGAAATATTGATTGTATTTTAGAAATTGGTAAAGACTAATGACATCATGATTAATTAAACCTTTCAGGAGAGTTTAATATCTCATAGTAGAAAACTGAGAAATTCAAAGCCAAACCAAGTCTAATTGGATGAGTAGGTGCCAGGTCAGATGCAACAATAGCTGTTGCAGCCTTCAAGAAATTGTATTGTAATTTCATTAATTTATTTATTATAGCATTTTATTTTTAAAGTAAAATGAATAAAAAGAAAGAAACTGAAAGTAGAATGGTGTAATGGGAAGAAATGAAATAACCCATCGGTCAAAGTCTAGTCAAGTCATAGAAATTTTGATCAATCTAGTTGAGTCTACTCCTACACAGTGTAATAGATGCAGCCTAAAAGTTGAATACCTGACAATGCTCTTTCCAAAGCCAAACACCTCTACCTCTAGTAAGTATGACTATAGATAGGCAGGTTATCGCCTTTCAAAAGATAATTAATGAATATGAACAATAGACTTTTGTTTTTATTCTCAGGCTCAGGCTGTTGGACATCATCATCTAGCACTAGCAGCAGATTAAATTCAGAGACAGAAAGCAACAATTCTGGGATTGCAGAAACCAATTAAGGTATTATGTAAACAAGAAACAACACTTTAGAATAGTTATACTATATAGATTCATGGAAAAAGAGATATATCCAAACTAAACCTACTTGTTGAGATTAACTTTGCAGGGAAAGTAGGGCAATAGACACTGAATCACTTTGTGTTATTTCAGGGAAATTGGTATGGTGTATTTAATTTTATTTTTTTTTATTGTTTTTATTTAATATGTTAAGAGTTAATATATTATTAAACAAATCTTTTTCGAATGGATCTTCAGGAGCAAGAAAAAATGTCCCGAGCTACAGGGACACATGTTTGTTTGTTTAGAGTTATAGTGCTAATTTATGTACCTTTTATCTGAAATAATTACAATTTCTTTCAGACACGCATGGGTGACTATCTCAAAGATGTGGCATCCAGTCATATCCAAAAGATTACAGATACAACAGTTGAATCAGGACTTAAAGTTGCACTGTATCCTCGAGAAACAAGTTAGAATGTCAGTTCACTTCATTTTCATTTTCATTTTGTTATTGATTTTCCCTTATTTGGATGAATGGGATCAAAATGAAAAGGATCACTCTATCTCCTTAGGTGGGGTTGTTAAGGATATGGAGTCTAGCTCTCTCCATCTTCTAGTTTTATGTGGTGCAAAGGTATGATCTAGTTTTATGTGGTGCAAAGATATGTGGAAGGATATTAGCAACCGGGATGCTACCAATGCACAACTGCTTAGCCATATAATCAGCTGTTTGGAGCATTAGTCTTAAAGAATTATAAAAGGCAAGATGCAACATTACTTAGATGGAATTTAATGTACATAGTAGATTAGATGGAAATTTATATATTGTAAGAAATAGATTCTATTTTTTGTATATGATATTTTATTTTCTATTCAGAAACATTAAATACAAATTTAATTTGAAAATAAGTTAATCTATAAATAATATTTTTTTTAAACATTTAAAATTATGATACGCAAAAATGTGTGTCATCTTCATTTATGACATGGCCTTTCTTGACAGGGTCTTTCTTGATACGCGTTGCGTGTCATTAACATGCATGTCGTAAGGTTACGACACGTGAATGCGTGTCGTCTTCCTTTATGACAGGGCCTTCCTTGATATGCATTGCGTGTCGTAAATGTGCGTCGTAATTGCACGTCGTAAATGAGCATCGTAAATGCGCGTCGTCTATAGACGACACGCAAAAGCGCGTCGTCTCTCTTTATGACAGGGCCTTCCTTGACGTGCATTTGCGCATCGTCTGAGCCTTTTACGACGCGCAATGAGCGTCGTAAAAGGCTATTTTTCTAGTAGTGAGTCAAACAAATGACAATGATGATGATGAAGAGAAAGTGAAACCTTCATGTCAATGTAAGAAAGAGAAGAATGTTTCAACTGACACATCACCTACACGTGTTGTTGTTGAACAAGTATATGGTGACCCGAAGGAATTCAACAAAATTCACATTGACAAAGGTGCACACTACTTGGAACCCAACACAATTGTATATCCGAATTTTACATGCACTAATAAAACAGTTTTTCCAAACCAAGTTTTCGTAACTACTGGAAATGTTGAGAAAATCAAGCCTGAAGTTAACAAAATGATTGAAAATGATAACAAACAATCAACAACCAAAGGTTTCTTTGCAAATCAAAACACGGTCGAAAACAATTTAACTCAAAATTCTTATGTTTTTCAAAATAAAAAACCATCACAAAAATGGTTGGTTAAATAGGAAAAAGAAGAGAAAGTGTTTCAAAAAGATGGTAAAACAAAATCAAAAGTGAAATTGAATTCTCACGAATTTAAAGTGATGGTTGGAAAATTTTCATGTGAAAACAATGTTTCAAAAGAAAAGCACAAAAGACAATTTTTTGGCAAATAGTGTCTAACGAAAAGCCTAATGATGTTAAAACACAAGATTTGAAAAATAAAAAGGTGGGATCTATTCGAAAATATGATAACATTAGAAAATATGAGACTTCGCATAACTTTGTGAATGATCGTAAGTTTCAAAGTGTTGCAAAATCAACAAATAATTCACCAATTTTGAATGTTACACCCCAAACAAAAACAAAATTTTCACCTAAACAACCAAATTTTCCAAATCATTCAATCACAAAACCAACCAAAGTTTCTTACACAAAAGGAAAATCTGATGTAAATTCGATCAACACTTGGCTAGAAGGAAAAGGAAAACAATTTTAAAATGGCAAATTCTTAGAACAACAAATCAAGACTGCATTCGAAAAATATGTGAATGAATCTTCTGCTGATAGTTTATCTTCTCATGGTTCAACCGTTCTAGTACAAAAATGGAAACCAGTTATGAAAGTTACGCAGTTTGTGAAGGCTAAGGTGAAAATCAAGGAAAACCAAAAACTATCGAACAACTAATTTATTTCAATATCTAGATCTGATGATGTTGATTTAATTCAAAGTGTGAAGGAAAAAGTAAAATCTGGGTTTTAAATTCTATGAATCTGTTTAATGATACTAATGAATGACCCAAAAAGTCTTGGGTTCCTAAAATTTTTCATTAATTGTAGATGATGTGTGATGAGCAATACGATTCGAAATGGTATATTGACAGTGGTTGCTCTCATCACATGACTGGAAGAAAGGAGAACATGCGCTATTATAGAAGCTTGGAAAATGTTGGAGTGGTCAAATTCGGTAATAATCATAAGTGTCAAGTGAAAGGCTATGGAAAAGTCATAAATGGGAAATTAACAATAAATAGAGTTGCTTATGTCGGAGGCCTTCAACATAACTTGGTTAGTGTTTCGAAACTTATTGTGGGCACTAGAAATAAGGTGGTGTTTAATGAAGAAGGCAGCATCAAATCAAAAGTGAACACAAATGAAGTGCTTCTCAAGTCAAAAAGACATGAAGATATGTTCACACTTTACATCAATCGATTGCAGGCAAACCAGCAATGTGTCTATTGTCGAAGGCTTCTAATGATATTAGCTGGCTATGGCATCACAGATTGTCTCACTTGAACTTTCTCAATACCAATAAACTTGTCACTGAAGATTTGGTTCGAGGTTTGCCTGTACTTAAATTTGATAATGATACTGTATGTGCAGCTTGCGAACAATGAAAACAATATAGGAAAGGACATCCAATCATTATAGATTCGAATAGCATAGAACCGTTGGAACTTCTTCACATCGACTTATGTGGATCGTCGACTGTTGAGACACTCAATAAAAAGCGGTACATTTTAGTTGTTGTTGATGATTTTTCTCGATTTACATGGGTATTTTTTCTCAGGTTAAAATCTGATGTTGCTTAAACGATGATCGACGTTATCAAGAAGATTGAGATGAGTCTTAAAAAGAGTGTTCGCAAGATCAAAAGTGATAATGGCTCTGAGTTTAAAAATCAAAAGCTGGATTCATTTCTCATAGCTAAGGGAATTTCGCATAATTTTTCATCACCATATACACCACAACAAAATGGTATGGTTGAAAGGAGGAACATGTCTCTCTGCGAAGCGGCTAGGACTATGTTGACATATGCAAACTTACCTCTATATCTTTGGGCTGACGCTGTGTCAACTACATGTTTTACTCAGAATCGTTCATTTATTTATCGTAGATTCAATATTACTCCATATGAAATACTTAACAATCAAAAACCTAATGTAAAATTTTTACATGTTTTTGGTTGCAGGTGTTTTATAATGCACTTAAAAGATAATCTTTCCAAATTCGATGCGAAGGCAGATGAAGGCATATTCTTAGGATATTCGCATAATTCTGTTGCATAAAGAGTATTAAACAAGCGAACACGAAAAGTTGAAGAGACTTTCAACTTAACCTTTGATGATTATTTTCTTAAGCAGATACATTGCAAATTTGAACAGAAACCCATCATCGCTGATTCAAATAATCCAGTTGAAAATGAAAATACTATTGATTTTGTTTATGAATTAATATTTGGTATTCCTGATAGGGCAATCGATGCTGAATTTCATGCCTCTGATAATGAAACATCAAAATCCTCAAAACACAATGTTGATTCTACTTGTACATCTGACTCAAATTGTTGCGAAAGCATGCCTGAAGTTCGTATGGAGGGGCAACATACGACTGATGAAATAAGTGTTCAAGGTGGGCATACTTTCGAGGGGAAGAAAAGAAATGTAGATCAACATGTTGAGGGGGAGCATCAAGATAATAATCAAGTTGAGGGGGAGTATGAAATTGATGACAATATTTCAGTTGTTGAAACTGAAAACGATGAAGTGTATGAGGATGCACCATTAAACTTCGATCGGGCATATCCACCAATGGAAAAATGGACAAAAAGTCATCCCAAAGAACAGGTCATAGGGAATCCTCAAGACGGTGTGTTGACAAGAGCTCAGATTCGTGCCAAAAATGAGGTACTTAATGCGAATCAAGAATTGTGTATGTTTAATGTTTTTATTCCGAAAATAGAGCCAAAGACAGTAAAGAATGCAATGGAACACTCAGATTGGGTTGTTGCCATGCAATCTGAACTGGCTGAATTTGAATGAAACAAGGTTTGGAGACTTATTCCTAAACCTTCTGATGTTTTGATTGTCGGGTTAAAATGGATTTTCAAAAATAAAACTGACAAAGATGGCAATATTATTCCAAAGAAGGGTAGGCTTGTAGTAAAAGGATATTCGCAACAAGAAGGAATTGATTATGAATAAACCTTTTCCCATGTCGCAAAACTCAAGGCAGTTCGCATATTTTTAGCCTATGCAGCTCACAAAAATTTTGATGTTTATCAAATGGACATTAAGTGCGCATTTTTGAATGGAGAGCTAGAAGAAACAGTCTATGTCGAACAACCACCAGGCTTCGTGAGTAAGGAACATCCTGATCATGTCTACATACCAGACAAAGCAGTTTATAGGTTAAAACAAGCACCAAGAGCATGGTATGTAACTCTTACAAATTTCTTGAAAGAGTAAAAATTTAAGCAAGGATCAGTTGATCCCACATTATTTCGAAAGAAAGTGGGTAATCATCTAATGCTTGTTCAAATTTATATTGATGATATTATTTTTGGCTCAACTGACCCTGCATTGTCTACTGAATTCGAAAATCTTATGAAAAGTCAATTCGAAATGAGCATGATGGGGAAAATAAATAATTTTCTTGGTTTGAATATAAGACAGAATAAGGATGGAATTTTTATCAATCAAGAAAAATACACGAAGAATCTGCTCGAGAAGTTTAGAATGATGAACAGTACAAAGTTGAGAGTGCCAATGGTAGTGGGAACAAGACTAACTCGTTCTTTAGATGCTCCTGCTGTTGATCTAACACTTTATCGAAGCATGATAGGGTCTTTATTATACTTAACTGCAAGTAGGCCTGATATTATGTTTTCAGTTTGTAATTGCGCCAGGTATCAAGCAAATCCCAGAGAGCCTCACTTAACTGTAGTGAAAAACATTTTTCGCTACCTTAAGGGGACAATTTCATTAGGACTATGGTATCCTTCAAATTTGGGATTTTTCATTCAAGCTTTTTCGGATGCTGAACTAGGGGGATGTACTTTAGATCGAAAAAGTACAAGTGGTGGATGTCAACTTTTGGATGGGAAGCTGGTGAGTTGGCAGTCAAAGAAGCAAACTTGTGTTGCTATCTCCACTGCTGAAGCTGAGTATATTTCGGCTACTGCCTGTACTTCTCAAATTATATGGATCCAAAGTCAATTTTGAGATTATGCAATAAATATGAAAAAGATTCCCTTGTACTATGATTCTCAAAGTGCGATTCGCATTTGTCATAATCATGTACAACACTCAAAGACAAAACACATTGCTCTTCGATATCACTTTTTCAAAGATCATGTAGAGGAAGGAAATATTGAAGTACATTTTGTTAAGACCACTGAACAACTTGCTGATATTTTTACTAAAGCTCTTGATGAAAAATATTTTGTGAGAATTTTAGCAGGTTTAGGAATGCTCGATGCGAATTCAGTGCCAAATAATATCACTCAAGGATGAAAGAAGTTTGTCAAGTAAAGAAATTTTCATTTAGCGGATTTGAGTCTGAATCATAAAGTTACTGTGCGTTAAGAGGCTTCACAATGGTTCGCATTCGCATTTTGGGTAACTTGAGTTCATTTTATTTTTTTAGAAAACATGAAAAATCAAAAATATTTTCTTTTGTTTGTAATTTTTTTTGAAAAATACAAAAACAACAAAAAGATTTTCTTTTGTTTTGTCTTTCATTTTCTAAAAATATAAAATTTCAAAAAGATTTTTTTTTATGTTTTATGTTTTTTTTTTTGTTTTAATTTTTTTGAAAAATATACAATCACAAAAATATTTTTGTTTCTTTTCAAAAATATAAAAACACAAAAAGATTTTTGTTCTTTTATATTTGTGTTTTTTCAGTACTAGTGGGAGCAAGATTCGCAGAGAATATGCTCAGTTTTCTATGGGAAGGTATCATCTCTTTGAACTATATAGTAGTTAGGGTTCCTTAGAAGCATGCTGTTGCATGTCGACCTAAGCCTCAAATGACTCTATGTCTATCAAATGAAAGTCTTAATGAAATTTTCATATGAAAGTTTCTTCCCAATTAGGCTTACATTCGCATAAGTCCAACAAGCTACCTTACTCTTCTCACATGAGTTAAGAGCTTTCTGTTTGGTCAAACATAACAGAGGTACATTCGATCTTACAACCAATCTTTTTCATTACAAAATTTCTTAACACGTTGCACACACGATGCACACATGTCCGTGAGATCAATTGATAAAACCAATCGTGATTTAGACATTTCATCAATCTGTGTTAATGATCTTATTTCATGAGTCCGTGAAGTAAGTAAAACCCAAAATTCTCACACATTAAGGAATCCACGGGGAACCATGTTCTAGAATTTTACGAAACATTTGTTTCTGTACTCGGTATTTCATATACTCCAAATCATATTCATTCGCATGAGTGGTCCTGATCAAATGCTCGAAGCCCACGATGTTTGTTTCCCAACAAGATGGAGTACTTATTTTTTTATGAATATGATTTTCGTGTGAGTATATATCTGAATCCGTTGTCACTTTTCAAAATGATCCAAAGAAAACTTGTCCCTTATCACAATGATCAAACAAGTAATTTCAATTACAATTACTCACCTTATGTTTAGGTTGATATGTAATGAAATTCGCATAGCCACCAAGTCAAGCCTATAAAAGAAGCCCTTCGATACTTCTCTACAAGTAGTCGATTGTATATCACGGGAACATACGAAAGTAGTTGATTACCTCTCTTAGTAATTAACAAAGTAACCTTTGCTCGGGGTTTTACTGCTTCGTGTCAATAAAATTTGACATCACAGAATCCTAATTTTTTCTTAAAATTGCTTCTTATGTCATTCGTTTGACTCACATGCACTCACGAAATCCTTGAGGTTCTAAGTACTACCAACTTAGGCTAATGATTTCAAAAGTCTGGCATATGGCTTTGTTTAACATCCCATAAATGAAGGAGCCTACCTCAAAAGCGAAGGGTTCATTTTGACAACTGAGATTGCGAAGGGTTTTAAGTAATCGTTGGCCCACCTGCTTACACAGCGGTGCAAGGGGGAGAAGCAAAAGGAAGTAAAGGGGAGAATGTGAAAGTTGTTGGGAAAGTGTATTCAACTCAACTGAAAACAACATTACTTGTGAATACTAGCTCAATTCCTTCAACAATTGTAACATCAAAACCAATTACAAAAGTAATTCCTAAAGGAATTAAAATTGGTTCGACAGATAAAGGAAGCTCTAGTGTGAAGACTAATACTTCAAATGTTGGGAAAGGAAAGGGTATTGCTTATGAAAAGTCAAATGAGGAGAAGAAAGCTGCAATTGAGAAACAGAGACATATTCAAAGCATACTGAGGCTAAGAGAAAATGATCCACCAACAATGAACAAAGGAGATCCTGCGAAGTTATATTCGTTTGAATCTATCGAATCCAGAGTTTTGGGGGAATCATATGTATGCTTTTGAGAAAAAGCCAAGGAAAATTTATGCCACTTCGAACTTAGACATGTGCCAACTAGACTTCCCAATCAATGAAATGATGTTTATTACTGCTTAGTACAAGGTCACTGAAAGATTCAAATATCCTGATGAGTACACATACTTGAAAATTAGGTTTCATGCTGTGCTTGGGAAAGATCAAGATGAAGTGTGGTCTTTAGTGAAGATAAAAGAGTGACAGCTATCAAGAAAGATGTCATGTTCGAGAATCTACTTCAAAACTTTCGATACTTTGTTGTTCGAGCAGACAACAAACCTTTTGATTTCTCAATTGCTAACTTTCTTCTGATGAATCTCAATGATCTCATTCAATTGGCCCTGATTCTGAAGGATATGGAAGAAAACCAACCGAAGGAAACTGATTTGGATGTGTTCAAACTTGGTTTAGGGCATCTCAATATATTCATAGATAATTACTATGATTGCTTGGCCTTAACTGATGAAGAACTTACTTTAGGAGTTAGAAGAAAGGTTAATGTTTCAATGGAACCTACGAAGCCACAACAGGAGTTGATGAAATATGTCGATGGTGAAATTTTTCTCAAACCATTAGGTATGGTGTTCGTAGGGAAAGATACAAGCGGAAAGGCAAAGAGATTCTTGTATCAAGTTGCAGAGATCGAAAGATATACAACTTCACAATATACGAACTTTATTGTTCGTATGAATAACTGCACCAAGAATAATGATGGGGATAGGAAGGAGCTGAAGAAGATAATCACTTGGTATTCAGAGATACGAAGGACAATGCACTCAGTTGCTCAAGTTCTCACAAATTGAGTGACTTCGACTGTTTACAAAGGGAGAGAATGTTGAGTCATTTTCTTGTAAAAGTCGAAACTTTTTCTTGTCTATTTTGCATGTTTATTTACTAAGTCACTTTGTATCGAAGCTTAATGTCTAGACTTAGTATTTTTTATATACTCATGTTTCCTATAAATAGGGACTGAGGATAGAAGTAGAGACACGAGTCATTCTGCTTATTGTAATCAGTATTGTATTCGAATTCTCTGTTCAATAAAAAATTTGCTGATTAATATTTACATCTGGTGTTCTTATCATTCATTATTCATTCATCTAAATCATGATTGCTTTCTAACTCTCGATTACAACTCTCATCAGTTTCATACACACCATTTCAAGGTAAAGCTTCAAAATAATACACATCATTATAATAAGCATAAATACCACCATTATTATTATTAAAAACAAAGGTAAAGCCTTGTTTGTACAAACTGTGTAAGGAAATAATATTTCTCGCCATATCGACAAAGAAACAAGAATTATTCAATTCGAAATTTAAACCATTACTAAGAAATAAATAATAAACTCCAATCTTGGTTATAGGCGACACTTTCCTATTTCCCATGATTAAGTTTATCTTCCCATGCTCCACATCCCTACTTCTTTTTAGTCCCTGCAAATCATAACAAATG